CCCAACCCACTGTGATGAACTTTCCTGCAAAACCATTAACATTCAGTCATATTACAAATATTTATACTTCCCATGAATCATCTTGTGACCCTTAAGGCAGCAACCTCTAATCTGGAGCCACTGTACCTTCGCCGAAGTCGTCCTGGTGGATCCCGACCTCGGTGATCGGCTCAAAGTCTTTGGTCATCATGATGATTGTTTCCTGACCTGTGAACACAAAATATAATTGATTTAATCAATCTTAATACATTTTGTTGGAATTAAGACTTGACTTACTAAGCACTGACCTCTTACTAAGGTAAGGACACTGTATGCATGTCTTGGAAAGCAGAACAGTGTAACAGTAGTCTTCTGCAGGAAACTCATGTTTATTCATGTGTTCAATGTAATTTTTGTTCTGTGTGTTTTGTTTGTGTTCAGTGTTGTAAAGTTACTCTGATAATATAAGCTTATACAAGCAATATAAGCTGGAAGCTTCTGATTTAAAACAATGCATTAACAATTTTATAAATGAAATTTTTTTTTTGTCGTGATTTTTTAAAATTTTTTTATAAAAGACTGACCAGTAGTAAGAATGACGAGCTCTTCATCAGGACTCCAACTCATCGACGTCAGACCGCTGTCCACACTACCAACACACTCCAACTGTGGAACATGATAAGAGACATTTAATGAGAACCCTCATTCACATAATGCATTCCTTGGCCTGTCACCCTGTAACTGTAACTCAGAGCAAACTTTCATTTTAAAGCTAAGGCCGACTCTTAACCCTCAAACAGCAGCTGACCTGGCACGTGTTGAAGTTGAAGAGAACGACATCGCCACCAGCTGTGGCCAAACACGCTGACTCCAGTTCAGCCAAGTCCTGCAGTCCGACAACCACGCCACTGCCATCCTCTGGGAGGAAACCATCAGCCGTCAACGAGGCTTCACTGACCACCTGCAGTAGAGAATGGTGGGAAGTTAAAGACGAGTGAACCAACTTTCACCTCCACTCGTAGTTTATATTAAAAATTCCCAATTAAAAAAATTCAGCTCCTTTCCCTTTTTAGTTGTCACAAAATACCAGTGTAGACGCATCTCAACACATTACTATCCTCCATGAGATAAAGCTAAAATAAATGAGTGAACAGAGCTATGGTGCTTTTAAGTGTAATAAAAGCCTTCAAAGTCTTGAGCATCAACGACTAAACACATTTTTCCCTGTCACCAGTGAGTGCTGTAAACTCCCATCTCCTCCAGAGACAAAGCAACAAGTACAGTGTAGCTCACCTGGCCAGTTCGTGGGTCATACTCCGTGATGGAGTACTGAGAGGCAACCAGCAGCGAGCCGGTGTCGGCCCGCACTGAGAAAAACTGCGGAGAGCCTGGTCCCTGCAGCTCCGAGCTGCATAGGCTCTTTAGCAGCTTCAGGTTCCTCATTTCACCTCAGGACAGAAGGAGAACGCACTGAACCTGAGTCTTGGACTTAAAGGCTGCAAAAGACCTGAAACAACAACAATTAAACACGTTCAGTGCTGAAACTGGACAGACATATCTAGGCAATCTATCAATGTAAGATTAGTAAGGTCAGCAGGGATATTATTTTGCATTAAGTAATGAGCTGGCTTCAATGTTGTACTATCTAACATTACATTACACATACAATTACAGTTTAGTGCGACTATTGTTACTGAACAGAGAATGCCAATATTGACCATCATGCCAACACAACAGCAGATTGCTTCTCAGTTTTCCATGTATAAAATGTCTTCTAAAAGAACGGACTGCCATGCCTGTTATATCATCAGCAATACAGACACATTCAGTCAAATATATTTGGATATAGGAAACATTTGCAGATATGGATGATTTGGGATGATTTGGCTGTTTTCTCAATAAATTAAGTAAATTATTAGTTCAGTAATTTATCAAGTAAACAAACAGTCCTGTGAGTGTCAGACTTAATAGCTGGAAGATGTCTGTGTGCTCTTGTGAGATGTTAACACAACTGCTACATTAGATTAATCCATTATCTGACACACCCTCTACCTGACCACTTATTTAGCCTCTTTCAATCAAAGTCTAGATGACAATGCCTCTATGCAACGAGTCAACGAAGTTTATCAACATGTGTTGAATTACACAGCTAATTTAATAGTTCTTTAAGACGTCACATTACGTTGTTATCCACTTTCCTTAACCTTGTTTCACTGCGTCATTCAAGGCATCAGTAACAAGAATCAATCGCCCATAAGTAAGACAGGTTACACAAACCGAGAACGGTGTAATGTTAGTTTAAAAGTCCTTTCACGATGTAAAACACAGGTTATTTTCGACTAACTGTCTAAGCTGGTGGAGGTCTATAGTAAAAGTGTGCAGGCTGTCCGAAAATGGAACTGTGAGTACTAGCTTACCATTAAACTATAAGAAGCAACATGTTTTTGGCGACGATAATACAACAGCTAAACAAAAAAATGACAACTATGAAACGTATTAATATTTTAAGATAACAATGAAACCCACCGAGAACAAACTGCTTGAAGAAATAAACCCTTTTAAACGTCCAGCATCAACAACACAACAACACGCATGTGGCGCTGTCAGACTCGTAACCTTTCACCTCTAATGCTGTTACGTGATGTCTCGGCGGTATCGCCCCCTGGCGCCGTGGAGTAAATATACATCACAATACATGGACTTTATCATGGAAAGTTGGTTGATGGTTTTTAAATGTATTTTTTTTTCAACAAAACAATGATAACAAATGTTATTTAATTAAACTGCTTTTGGATAGACATATACTCAAGTCCAAATGGGTCAGAAAGAAAATCCAACTTTACCTCCTTTCTCTTGTTTCATATTTTAGATTCTTCAAAGTGGACACCATTTACCTTGATGACAGATTTGTGGAATTTCTTGCTTTCTTAATCAGTTTGAGACCATCAGTTGTGTTGCGTCATTGTATCATTGGTACACAGTAAATAGCCCTATTGGACAACTGTCTATTTGATTGTCCTACCTATGCTAAGTGCAAATGTGTGTTGACGTTTGTGAGCTCTTTCTTCATTAGCCGATGCTGCCTAAACGCTGTAAACGCGTTGCGTGTATTTTTGTCCCACTGAATGAAGACGTGCAATTCAATTCAGCGCATCAATGCGTCAGTTTGTTCCATTATCCACCTTGTACAATAAACTTGGTGCTCAAAGTTCCCACACAGTGTGTGACACTGAAGTTACAAGTAGAATTCTGGCCCCTTTTTTACACCTGAATCTAACTGGACAATGACAGTCCAATCAGAGGGCAGGTGGTTCGGTTGCCTTCATATCGATGGCATATCCTAAAAAGTGAAGTAGATTTTGAAGCCTACGCCGTCGTCCATCTTGAAAATCTCGTTGTCACATTCACAAACTTAAATTTGTCATGCAGATTTGTTTTACAGGTTTACAAAGGTTGATTTACAACTACAAACATTGGAATTATTTGTAAACATTACTTTACAAGCTCAAAATCATTTTGATCCTAATTAGAGCCTATATAGGCGCCGGGGGCTAAGTCGTTCCGGCATGGCCCGCCAAAGGACAAGCTAGCCGCCTCCGCACCGGCTAGCTTGCTGGCTGGGCGCACGGCCCACTGAGGAGCATAAAGCATTAGCATTAGCTAGCAGCATGCTGGCATTATACATTGATGAATGGATTAAACGATTTCAGCAAAATAATGAAATGTGTCTGAATGGACTGTATGTCTATGTGATTGATCTGGATGTGGTAGCCATTATTGAATTGACAAGCATCATCATCAGCTGTCTCTAGCCTTTTACTCTGAAAATGTGGATATTCCGCTTCCGTGTGGCTTTTATTTTGTGAAGTACTGAGCGGACGCTGTGTTCGTTTGTGATCGTCGTGACTTTGACGAGTTTCTGGTTGACAACAGGTGAACGGGAGTTTAAATGTCAGAAACACGGAGAGCTGAGGACGTCACAGCGGGTGTAAATACGCAATGAGAGGACGATAACTGAAAGGTAAGCATTTTATCATATTTTTCTGTCATTCTGTCCTGTGTTTATCCAAACACAAGGCAGCAGACAGACTGCATCATCTCCTAACCTTAAACCAAACGAAGGGTTTGCCTTTTTATCAGCCCGCTCTGCGGCAGTTTGCTAACGACAATCAGTTGGTTTATAAACCTCCAGCACACATGTCTGCCGAGTGATAAAGCAGAACGAGTGAATGTCAACATGTTTGAAAAAGCATAAAAATAAATCAAAATATCGTCTTAAATGGGTTCAGCCCACATCTCCTCTCACTCACAATGTAATTAAAACAGGGAGATTTTGTCTTTCTGATGTTATTACCCTAAAAGATAACGACATGATAATATGTCGGATTTAAAACGGGCAGTATAATGTTATAACTAAGGCGCTGTTTACCTTAGAAGACATTTGGGGAGGACACCCTTCACTTTTATGGTTGAGGTTGTTTGAGGGTAATAAATACATTGTAATATGTGGAAGACTGTTAAAAGAGGAATATGTGCACATATTTAACACACATTTCTCACATACAACTGAGTGTGTCTCAAATTTATACCTGTAAATGATTTTGAATCATTTTGGAAACAGAGTTAAATACAAATGTGTGCAGTCAACCACAAACATGTATTTCCAGTTTCCAAAATCTATTTTAATGTACATATTGCCATATTCATGCCTAGTTACCTGAGAAATCTGTGTCATGAGAAGCTACTCAATGAATGTACATTGTTTCGCTTAGTCAGATGTTCTTGTCTGATTTAAAGTAAATGGGGCAGACAGGTAGGTCAGCTGTATGCCAACTGCATGAAAGATAGCTAGTTGTTCACTCCAGACTCAGACAGACAGAGAGATAAACACACTGATGATGTAAAACAATGTTTAGTCTATCTGAATATGTTTATTTCAGTTCCCCGGTGATAAGGAATCCAAGGTTACCAGGATGTTTCCTTTTCCGTCTGCCTCTTCTGGAGTCCTAAGTGGAACTACACTGGAAGACAAAACCTAAGACGTGGGTAATACAACTTTTGAGCACAATTCTGGGCACCATCCTAGTTGATTTAGCTATACTTTCTTTATTATCTGCTGTTCACAGGTTGCATGGATGGGGACTCTAATTTGAAAAAAAAAACTGAGTGGAAAAGCTGTTTTTTTTTTTTTTTTTACACTCAGACAATATGGAGTCACATGAGCTATGTTGACTTTTTCTTACATAACTCACTTACATATGATGGATACTTAATTATAAGTCGCATATCTATCATTCTTTTTGTCCTTCTGCACTATATTTTTGTTAGGATAAGATGCCTGTAAGTACTTTTTTAAGTATTCTCCAGCACACAGTAGAATAAACTCACTATAATCAGGTTGCTACCTTTTACATATTTCCTCAGCACTCCCCATTGTCAATATTTGTTCCAGAGTGTGATATCATTTCACCCAAATTCTGATAACCAAGCACCTTGTGGCAATGGCATACAATGTGAAACCTAAACAAACCAAACAAGATGATGTAAAGGTGTGATCAAATCCATAATCTGCTGTCACACACGGTCAACCTAAAATAATTCCTCTCTCATTGTCAGTGATCCCGTGGCAACATGAAGATGTGAGGTGGAGGGTATTTAATGCTGATTAAGCAGACAGGATGCAATCATCACTGTTTTCATTTTCAGCTTTGTTATGTTCCCTCAACTGTGTGTGTGTCTGTTAGCCTGCGGCAGGAAGACCTTAATATGGGTTGCTGACAGACATGGTAACCTGCAGTTCAGCAAATGACAGCACTGTACTGATGCGGGAGCAAAGTATTGCCCAAGAGGAGCTTGTTACAGAAGTAATGTGAGTCAATCTGTGGCAGGTCATATTCATCTTAACCATTTTGCATCCCGGATTTCTCAAGGTGTGTCATTTCAAACACTGTCATTTAATAGTCTATTTTTAGCATACTGTACCTCCAAGTTTGAGCCATGTCTTAACGTCCCATGTGCCATAGCCAGGAACTAGTCCAACTCTGCAATTACAGTAAACATGCTTCTGCATTTAGACTTCTTACCAAGTCATCAACTCTTTTTTTTCAAGAAGTGGAAAGCGTGTGTTAAGCAAAATTTGTACAACTACACTCATTTATGGAGAAGTGCACCCATCTTGTCAGACTAAATAACAAATTATGTTTTCATGTGCTTCACCCAGAGGAAGATATGAATCAAAATCGGTGAGATCCTTGTTTTTTAAGGATTTCTGCAGTCAGACTGCAGCCTAAGGACATAAACAAAATCTAAACAAAAAGCAGGCAAGGTTGAGTTGCTTGTCAACATTTCTTTATTATTTTCTCAATCGAGGACATTTTTTGCTTTTATTGATAGTTGACAGTGTAAAGATGACAGGAAATGAAGTGAGAGAGGGATACGGGAACAACATCCAGCAAAGGTCCTTGGATGGACTCCAACATGCTGAGTATGTTGTGGATGAACTATGTAAGGATGACACTCTTTCTGAAGTATCACAAACCTACTTTCACAGTTCTGTGCTACAATTTATTTTTACCTGTCAGCCAGCAATACCAATATATCTGCAATAAGATAATATGGGCTTGTTAATTGGCCTGAGTGATTTATCAGTCTGTCATCAATAACAAAAAGTGTAACAGCTTCAGAAGTTTCTGCAGCCGTGGCAGAATTCTGCTTTCGCTTTTGGAAAGGCAGGGGTTAGCTCTGAGAAAAATGTTTGCTCTGTCCTTAATACAAGTCAAGTCAAGTTTGTAAACCCTTATTCTGCTGCAAGACACCTTATGTTGTCATGAAAAGAACATAAGTCAGCTGATAAAAGAATCCAGTCCTGCAGCATTCCTCCCTGACATACCGATCTGATGAACTAGATTAGCCGCTGCCTCCCTTCCTCCCTCATTCCAGAATCGACTGCAATGAATTCCTTCATTGTCTTAGGCTGGGTTCATGCTAACATCATATTCTAATTATTCTCATTGGTACTTACTAGGATGGCCATTTGAGTCTGTATGTTTGGTTCACTATTGTTTTTGAGAAAGTCATATTATCATCTGAAGGTTAAGTAAAAATTGTATAGGAAAATAATAAAATACCAGTGGTGGTACAAACAATACACTTTTATGAAACAGAGTATTCATTCATCACTTATCTTAAAGTGTTAATTGTATAGGGCCAAGAATATACATGAACCAATGCCACATACCACAACATTAGTAGCCAAAGCTTATTTGCATTTCCTGACCCTAGATGGGCCTTTAAAATGCAGAAAACTCAACAATAAAATACATACAGACCAGCACAAAGCAGAAAACTCAACAGTGTTATCCTACATAGATGCTAGGAAAGTACCAAAGGCCAGCTTTGATGTCTATAATAAAACATCTAAAGTACAGTGGAAAATGACAATGATAAAAATGAAAGAAGTTGTGGTTGCATCATCCCTGGTCTGTTGGTATTAAATCTCCATCCTGTTATTTTTTGGATTTACATTAACATCAACTGTTTGTGCTATATGAAACAACAGATTTTCTGTGTTGAGGGAATCTTTACGTAAAGACTGTGAGAGATGACAACTTGATCTTTTGGTGTTGAGCCAAAATATGAAAAAAAAAAAAAAAAACCCTGACATCCTCTTAGCACACCTTGAAAGTAAAACTGGCTTGAGAGATGGCAGCGTCAGTCTGTTGGTCCTTCACTTTCGTCAACTGAAATTTTCTCAACAACTATTGGATGGATTGCCATGAATTTTTTTTTTACAGACATTCAAGTCTACTGACTGTAGTGATCCCCTGGCTTTTCCTCTAGTGGCACCAGCAGGTTGACATTTGACAGAGAATGAACCCTATAGACTTTACTGATGTCTAATTGACAAGTTGATAAAAATTAAAATTAAAAAAAACACATTAGGTGCAGATATTCTGACTGAGTGCTACTATGAGTTTGACATTTTTCTTTTTCAGTGAATTATCCCAACAACTGATGGATGGATTTCCAACAAATTTGCTCAGGATGAGTTGTAATAACTTTGACGATCCCTCAGGTTTCCATGTAGTACCATAATCACATAAACACTTCATTTAGGTGTTTGTTTAATCTTTTAAAATAAACTTTGGACGCAACCTGCATGAACCTTTTTATTTCCAGATAAAAAATATCCAAAGGACTGAGCCATGAATCTCCTTTTGTTATCTTCTACCAGAAAATCCAGACAATCCCTTTTTCAATTGGAAGAGGATGGTACGTCCTGCTGGGCTTTTGTTTCCTGTGAGAGGAAAACTTCAATCACTTCAACTCTCTGTCTTCATTGGTCCTTTTACCGTTTCATGAGGTCCCTCAAGGTGTCGACTGATTGGTCCTTCTTTCCACTTGGAAGACTTGTCAGCCAATCAGCCTCTGCCTGGGTGAGTGCCGCTTCCTTTTCCCACCAGCTGCTGCAGTCAATCAGCTTATTCAGCAGCATGAGTGTGTGTGTGTGTGTGTGTGTGTGTGTGTGGCCACCCTTTTCTCCCCCCTCCCCTGTTTTTCCTCTACAAAACTGCCAGCCCTCCCTCCTTTCCACTCCCATCCCCCCTTTTCCTCACACACTCATACACTGTGTTTTCGTCTCTCACACACACACTTGTGAATACACACTGGAACACTCTTGCCACATGAGGCCCGGCAGCAGCCTGCTGTGTGTGAGTCACTGGAGAAAGTTACACCCGTGTGTGTGTGTGTGTGTCTGTGTTTTCTATGCAGCAGTGTCTCCTCTGCAGCAGATTTCTGCTTCAGTCGGGACAGAGCACAACAAGACAGCGAGAGAGGGGAGAGATCGAGCTGCACTGCAGCTGAATCAGGGATTCTGCACAAGGTAATAACAGCCTGATCTCATGCAAATGTTTTTCAATGATGCTTTTCAGTGTCACTCTCACACACATTGTTATTGTTTGGACGGTTTGCTGTGGTTTTGGTTTGGCTTGTGGGCAGCAGATGTCATTACCTGGAGCGGTGACAAACTTGTTTTGGGACGTAAAGAAACTTTTTGTGTCTCTTCCATCATCCTGTGTCTTGCGGTGTGTTTGTGTGCCATAACTGATGTAATGTAGTGGATAAGAAAGAGCTTATAGGTAGCCCTGATTTGATACCGTACCAAAAAACTCTTATGAATACTTTACATTTAGAGTTCTAAATGTTTTTCTGCAGGCTACTTTTTCTATGCAAAAATAAGCTTTCAGATGCTGAATTCTGTCTAAACGCACGCAGCCTATCAAGACCTTTGCATAAACAAAGCAGTTTAGAACAGGCAAAATATTTTTTATTTAACTAAGGAACTATCAGATCAAGCAGGTATTTGATGCCAGCTTATCGTACTGTTTTTAATTGTTAAATCTCAGTTATCCTCAAGTCTGGGTCACCATATGCTGTTAACCCCCTAAACCTTGAGTTGGAGGGAAAAGATAAATCTGTGAGGTAGGATTAGATCAAAATGAATGACAAGAGTCACAGTAACCTACTTTGACTGTAGTGTACGTACAGGTTGTTGTACACCTGTAAAAATACAATGCAATCCAGTGTAGCCATGTAGATGATAATAATAAAAAGAAGAATGAAGAAGACATTTTAAAACATTTTCAAAGGTTTCATATATATATATATATATTTATACATTCTCATATATTCTCATTTGCCAGTTCATTAGGCAGTCTAGCACAATAGTCTACCCTCTGCCCTTGTGTACCCTCACTGATATAAATCTGGTAGAAAATATTAGAAACACCTCTCAGTATAAACTAATACAATTTAACAGCACTGCAAACCTTCAATAAAGTTGAATCAGCTCCTGTCTAAAATGAAAACTGAACATTTGAACCTTCATGACAATAGGGAATAATGCAGGACTGTTGTGTTAGTTTTTGCTTGGTGTCCCTAAAAAAAAAAACTGGCACCTGAGTGTAAATTTAATGAAACGGAATAAAATCAAATCAAATGTATAAACATGATAAGAATTCAATAGGAATACAAATATTTGGAAAACCAATCAACACAGTCGTTCCTCTGAGACACAGTCTGAACAAAAATCCAAATCTGCTCATTTATCAGCTATAGTTAGGGTTAGGTAAAGGAATTTGTTTGTGTGACTCTGTTGCAGGAACGTATCAGTTCATCATGTGTAGTGACATAATGACTCAGTGGCACAGTTTAGGAAGAGCAGGAGCTTACATTCAATTCAAACAGACAGTGAAAGACATAAAACACATGTGAAACTAAACTGTTCTATAAGTTGGTGCAACATATTATCAGATAGTTACAGGATCAGATCTTTAGGGCCGGACTATGGTGCATGGAGCTCTGCCTTGTTGTTGACGTTAACAGTGCTCCTGCACAGCTCCTCACACAGACTTTATAATTTAATCACAGAGTCAAAAATAAAACTGTCATTAGAGTCTGCCCTTTAAAGCCACAGACTGCTGTTCAGCTGAACCATGTAATGGTTAATTTTCACAGCGGTGGCAGCATTAGTGGCTCTATAAGCAGCTTGCCAACCTCCTGGTGGGTCGACCGTGTGGTGTTCCAGCTCAGAGGGTCCATGACAATGCATCTCCCCTCGCTGCATGTTTGCGTGCAGTAAACAATGTAAACAAAGCCAATGCCTCTGCAGCTGGTCGATGCAGTTATAAAGGCCAAATTTATACGGGTAACATCAGTGGTAATGTTTGCTTGCTTGTTTTTTCCGTTTCCTGTTTTTTTTTTTTTGTTTTGAATTTTTCAGTGGAAGATTTATCCAACACCAGATGTTTAGAAAAACTCTTTTCTCAATTTTGTTAAAGGATAGATGATGGAAATAGAATTTGAATGACAATATATGTTGTTGTATGTATATGTTTCCAACAGCACAGCAATTGTCATAAACTACTTTAACATGTATCACGCTCCTACTCTCTGTATATTTGTTTCAGGGCCGTGCAGAACACATATACAGATGTAGCAGATGTAGCGCATACATGTTAAATGTGCTACGTTTGACATGTTTCTGTTGCTGCTTGGACAACACAGCTGTGCTAATACAGGATACATACAAGCAGAGGACTTGAAAAAGTTCATCTCTGCAGCAGTTCAGCTCTGCCAACTGTTGCAGGTCGTCTTCTCGTGTTGTTTTCTACTGTATTTAAAGTTTACAGTTTAACACAGTGTGAAAACTGATGCTGATGAGATTTTATTTTGAAAAAAATATAGGTTTGATTATTAAAATCACATATGTCGTCCCTCTGATCCTGTTATATTATCGATTCACTCTAGTCAATCTGGTCCAGATTCAAATAAGAAAATGTGACTCCAGGCATCTGTTGTCTTTCACACTGATACAGGCAACCACTAACGGAGGAATTGAAGACTTAAAGGCTTAGTGGATATACTAGAGCTGCTTTAACTATAAAGAAGACAGATCCTGTTTCTTATGATGAGATATTTGTTTTTAAGTACTAATATAAAATGTAAACATATGAACACAGTGTCAAAACAATGTTTCTCTTCGACAGTGATCTCCATCATGGAGGTGCCGAGGAGGCCTCAGCCCTCCTCCTTCACACTGGCTCTCCCTAAACCAGCCTCGTCTGCGCTGTCTCCGCTTGGAGCTGTAAAGAAAGTCGCCAAGAAAGATCCCATGAAAGAGAAGCTCCAGGAGAAGGATGGAACCACAGAGAGAAATCAATTTGGAGAGGAGACATGCAGTACAGAGGAGTCAGATGTGTCCGTGTTTGTTGAAGAAGCAGCAGCCGAGACCTCTGAACTTGTAGATTCAAACGCTTCCGCTGTAAACTCAAGACTTTCCTCGCAGGATAGTTTCTCAGAGGAAAGCTCAATATCAGAGGAGAGGTTAGCACAGGAGGCTGAAGAGGCCAAAAAGAAGTCGGAAGAGGATGAAGCAGCAGCTAAAGAGAGAGAGGCCCAGAGACAGCTGCTGGCCATAGAGGAGCTGGTTCAGTCTGAGAGGAATTATCTCCGACTGCTGCAAGTTAGCACTGTGACCATCCGGAGCAACCTGCAGAAACTACAGGTGTGAATTCACTGTTAGCAGCATTCTCAGGGCAAAATACACAGAACTGTACAGCAAAAAATGTTTACAGTATAGTTTTGCTAAGAAAGAGGCTGCAGGTCAAGTTTAGCTGACACAAGAACAAGCTCCCTCTCATGTAGCCTAAAGTTTAAAACCCTCAAATAACATTGATAACTGTGTTAGTCCCTGTGTCATGTGTATTTCTTTGTTATGATTGTTTATGATGGGACAACCTGTGTGATAGTGCCTTTAAGCAAAAAGTCTCCACATGTTGAATTGGCACTGCAGCATCCAGAAAAGGCTGTTATGCAGAGGCCGCTTGATGGTTTATTATTGTTAGCTTTTCATTACATCGGAGGTATTGCTTATTACTGCTAAAAATCATTTATTATCGCTGTGGTGATGAAATGAGGCCTCGTAAAACATAATGGAATCAGGCTTTATGGGCTGCAAGGACTGAGCTGTGGATGAGCATGCAAATGGTGACACACGGAGGGAATGGTAGATGAGGGAAAAGAGGATGAAATAAAAATAGAAAGGAGGAATAGACAGGCTAAATTATAGGGCGATGAAGGAGAGAAACTGGTGGGTTAAATAGATGTTGAGAAAGAGATCTGTCTGAGTTTTTCCGATTTTCAAAATCAAAAGATAAAGTGCAAATGTGGGGAAACAAAATGAGAGATAAAGGTGAAGAGGGCAACAAAAATATGGGTAAAGGAATATGATAGATGGGGGATGGACAGAAGCAGCAGAGTGGAGGAGGGCTGGACAGAGACATAGAATACATTTGGATAAATGAAGCCATTGTGAGACAGGAAAGTGTCTGGTTTGTTTTCTGTTGCAATGTGCAGATTGTTCAGCCTCTCTGCAGTTAGTGTTCCCACTGTTCGCTCATTAGAATAGAATGGAGCAAAACAAAATGGATCTTTATCAGCTGTGCATTAGCATTTTTCTTGCACAAAAAGGGAGCAGACACACACATATGTACTGTGGCTATATGCTACATATAATTTAAAGCAATATAGTATGCAAATAATGCTTCTTGGTTTATGTTTTCTGTTGTATTTTTGAAATCGTTTTTGTCTATGGTTTGTAATTGGACTTGTCTTTTTGTCTGCTTGTCCACCTTAGCCTCCTCTAGCCAACCTGGACAGCATGTTTCTCTACATCGAGGAGGTGATCGACGTGTCCGGTCGACTCCTCAGCTTGTTGGACCAGAAGCAGGTTCGGCCTGGAGACCCTCTCTTCCTGGAAACACTCTGTAAGGGCTATAACTTAAAATCACTTCTGCATCTCCTGTAAGTGCAATCATCCCCAAAATTCTAACATTAATGACAGGGGTTGTCTTTGTTGGCTTCCAACAGGAAGTGGTGAGGATGTGGCTGGTGTCTAGATCAATTGCTCTGATCACACTTCCTGACAGGAAATAAATAAAGTCTTGACACGTCTTGTTGCCCCATGTGGTTTTCACATGCATATGAGATTGTAAATGAGTTCCCTCAGGGTGTTTATGGTCTCAGCAAGGTTTCTGGAGTTGCTACAAGAGTTTATTCTTGAGGCCGTAAACCTAGAAATTCCTGCTATATATTTTACTGTATTTATGTGCTAAAAGTGTGAGAGGAGACAGTTCTTGAGAAGCTCTCTGACCTCCTTACAAAAAAGAAAACTGAATCACACTTTACCCCTGTGTTTCGCTCTGAGCATGATTTCTACATGAAAATAAGTAAATATATGTTTTTAATTCCTTACAGGTGATTCCTTCCTCAGCCTGTCCTCAGAGATTGAAGCAGCCTATAAGGAATACTTGGCCAACTACAACCACATTACAGTGGTGGAGAACAGCTACAAACAGAAGGAGGGGCTCTGGAACGAGATTGTCAGCGTCATCAAGGCCTCAGCGTAGGTTTATATTGTTTTCTCTTCTTTCACACTGGGACCAAACTTATTAAAAATTCCTGACAAACAGAAAATGTAAAAAATAACAGCTGGATACACAACAGAACTAACATGTAACAGTTGTTGCTTTCGCTCCTGATGTTATCTGAGTGCTGACTGTTTCCTGTTCATCTCTCCAGGCCTGAAGTAAATGCCACCTCTCTGAGTTTCTTCCTGGTGATGCCAGTGCAGCGTATCGCCCGTTACCCCCTCCTCCTGCAGACCATACAGAAACACACCGACCGAGCTCACCCAGCTTATGCACTCCTGGAGCAGACTGCTCACACCTCTATTGCCTTAAACTGTCGGATCAATGAGTACAAACGCTTCAGAGAAGTTGGTAAGATGGGGTTCTGCCATGACTGTCTGCTACTAACACATGAACAGATAAAAGCAATATCACACTGCATATATTTTTTTTTTTTTGTTTTGTTTTTTTCAGTTTTGTTTCCTGTGATAAAATCAGCTGTGTTCATTCAAAAATTAGGCCCAATTAAGTTGCCATCTGTGTTTCTAGCCTGTCTCTAGAGTAATTGTTGTGTGTTATAGCTGACAAATACAAGAAGACAGAAACCCTAACCATCAAGGACAAGATCAACCGCCTCAACTCCCACAGCATTGCCAAGAAGACAGCGAGGCTTAGCCAACAGATCAAACACGAGACTGGAATAGCACCTAAGGTAGGATGGTAGTTTAAATAACACACTCTCTGTTGAAGTGCCCTTGCACAACACAGGATCCCTGCCAACTTCAGGACGCTGATCTGTGACTGACTCTCACTAATCACCAGCCCATGTTAGGAGTCAGGCATCAGAGAGACAAGCCTAACCCATAAGAGTAAATGAAGCAACACATTACAGTCATACTTCAGGATGTTTACAGTAACCCCGAACTCTTCTGGTCCACTGAGCCACAAATAATCTTCCAGTGAACACCTTCCCTGTGGCTGCAATGCAGCAGTTAATTATTAACCTGCAGAGAAAAGATACACCTGTTATTAAACCTGCTGGTAACTCTGGTCTGCTTCAGTATGGTTACACTTGTCAGTCGCATAAGGTTTTTACGGTCTGATCAAAGGGTTCACATCCATCAGCGTCCTCACACGTCACCTGCAGCTTCATTTTGATTGTTGATTTTCCCACTTCATCCTTTGATCTTTTTTTTACATTTCTTACATTTAGGTTGCAGCCTGATAATGTATATGCAGGGATCTGACTTTTAAGTGCTGGAAAGTTTTAGACATTTAAAGCCATCAGTTCTCACCCAGGGTTCAGGTTGCAATGCAAAACAAACCACTGCTATGGTATTTGATACAATGCTCAAGAGCCACCTTCACCATGTGTGTATTACAAAAAATGAATCATGATTGTTGTGTTGAAAAGCGGTGAAGCTTGAAAGAGAATGGGGAAAGAACCCGGTATCTAAAAATATGTGGAGAAACGCACTGTAACGAGTGTGTACAGGGAGTCTGAGGTCTGGTACAGGTAACTGTGAACAATAACAACAAATCATAGGTTCCTAAACAATGTATGACATTATCCCACAGGTGCTGATCCAGCTGACCTAACAACTACTGAACATAAAGAAAGCTGTTATCATTGCAGCTCAAGCAAATGAAACCAGTGTTTTCTTTGTACGGCAGTATGTTTTAAGCCCTGACAGGCAGCGTAAGACACTGCCTTTTATCACCATATTACATCAGGATATGTCTCCCTGTGCTTTCTGTTTGCAGCTGGTTGATGAAGAGTTTGACGCCCTGGAGGGCTTCTTTTACGTTCTGGAGCATGGGATCCTGGAGCTCCTTGAGAATGTGGAGACATACCTGCACCACCTACAGGTAAGCTTCAAATGCCCTCGGTTCTGTTAACTCATGGGTAATGCGTTTAATTTAACATTTTGATATTTATTGTTAAATCCTAATAACTGTATTCCTATGTCTATGGTTTAAATTACATTAAAATATTCGATTGGCCTCTGAATGAAGAGAATATTCTACAGGCTCGGGTGGTAGTCCTGTTAAAAGAAGAGCCAGGTTGTTAATGAATCATATGATGAACTTTGTGTTGTTGGTAAGAACAAGGCTGTATCACAACGACGTCTTATGGTTAGAATACAAGGTTATGTGCGCAATTGCTGTTTTGAGTCCAAAATAAATATCCTCTTATCTGTCAGGTGCCATTGAGCAAAGCACTAAACAGCAGATTGCCAGGAGGAAACTGTGGATGCAAACATGTCTTTCTTTGCTCACATTTACACTACAGACGATCACACTGTCTGTAAAGTGTTGCTCACTTCCTGTATATTCTTGGGAGTGACCTGTATGTGACAGTATGAGCTCACAGAGACACAAAGTCACAACTGAAGACACCGTCGTGTCTTTGTGCTCGTGCTTCTCCCGTTTGTTTCCGACACATTTTAGTTACAGTTTGTAAATTAGATTTTTGATTAATTGAGGCTTCTCGTCAGATACTGAACACAACATCTGCTTTTGTTTTTTTCTGTTTGTTTTGTCTTGTTTTTCATGCTGACACGTTTTAGGCAAACAGTGCAGTAATTTTGAGACCTGTCTCAGGTATAAAAAGAAATAGCAAAAAACTGACATGTGCATCACATTTATTGGGATTTTGCTGTCAGTGTTGTTTTACAAAATGTATTTTGCAAATGAGAAAAATCTGTATCACATTCAAGGGGAGCATCTTATCCTGGATGCTTAAGAATTAATTTTACATGTACACTCTATTTCTCACATTCACTGTGAGGACAACAAACAACTTGTTTTGTTTTGATGTTTAGTGTCTTCCTTTTGATTATCTGCTGATATCTAGAATAAAGAGTGAAGGGTTAAATTTCAGAAGCCGTTTCAGAGACTTTAAGTTGTGACCTTCTGGTCTCTCGTGGCAAATGGAGAACTGAAACATAACTGAATTGACAATTACACATTGTGTTTATGAGTCACACTGTGTAAAGTCAACCTTCTTCAAGTCCCTGAGGTCAAACACATGATTTTCTGTGTACCTTTCCACTCTAAAATTATCCTCTGTGGAAACAGTTTTTTTCTCCTATTTACTCCAACAGCAGGAATCAGCTCTGTATCCCTCTTCTTCTTCTTCTTCTTCTTCTTCTTCTTCACATTTTCTTACTAATAGACAGCCAGTTATTTTTGCCAGGCCCACCCAGTTATCCACTTCGTGGGAAAACTGACAGTCGTTTTTTTTGTATATTCACAAAGCAGCATGTTTAAAAGACCTTTAATTTGGACATGGCAACTAGTTTGTCCCTTTGAAAACTACAATAACGAAACACTGGTGAAATCAGCAATCCCGTCATCTTTTCATGAATGAAAATTAGCCTCACAGAAGTCAAACACCACAGGTTTGACAGCTGCTTTCTTCTTTGTTGGTCTGCAGGGGTTCCTGGCCTGCAAAACAGAGGAGTTTGACTTTGATATGGATGGAGAGAAGGCTCCTATTAGTTACAAGGAGATCACTACAGCGCTCAGACAGTGGATTCTTCCTACATTTGTGAGTCTATCTGACATCTTTATCCAGAGACCAGCGATGCCAGTAGCATTCAAATACTTAATTTAAAAATTCTTGCATTTGATATTACCTTTAATCACTAAACCTAAATTATGAAGCAAGAACTGTACTTTTAGTCCAACCTTCCTGTCCAGGTATTGTGCAACACACACACTTGTCACTTAAGCAGCATCTAGCCTCAGGCTGATGTGACAAGGATCTTTAAAACCACCACAGACAGTTTCTTGAAATGTTAATTTTGCTGCCCTTTATGTTCTTACCGCTTTCCTCCAGTGTTGTTTGGACTGTCATACTGTCAGGCCCAAATGTCCAGGGAGCTTCAGGGCAAACAAGTGTTAGACATGAATGCAAAGCTTCTAGTCAACAGTTGAGAATATATATTTAGTCATCTTGATTGTAATGTGTAAAATTGTGTAAATCCTGACTTCAATGATAGCAACACAGCATTTTTCTAATGTTGTTCTAATATGTCCAGGAGAAGAGGATGAGGACGTTGATGCACAAGCCGCTGTGTGCACTCCGTGACCTCCTGGTGGGCCCGAGGAACCTGATCAGGAAGAGGCTGGACAAGCTGCTTGACTATGAAATGATAGAAGCCAAATCTAATCTGAGCTACGAGGAGCAGGCTGTGGCCAACACCTACAGGTAGCGACAGACAGTTAAATTACAGGCTGAACTCTGAACTCCGAAGCCTGTCACATTATTGAGGGTCACAGGGTCAATCCACAGAGGGAGTGAGTACATCTGTCCATGCTGGAGTCTTGACCCAGAACCCGAACTTCACTTAGTGATCTCCTGACCCTGAACACTCATCAGGGTGCTCTAAAGAAAAGGTTATTTCAAGTTCTACAGGGATGTAAGAGACGTGACAAAAGTAAAAAGGACTAAACTTTGTTCCATGTGTACATACACTGCAGTAAATGTAATGAACTGAGCAACAGAAGTACTTTCTAGTATGACAAACTGCTTCTTTTCTGGATGTGAGCTTAACAAATTCCAAGTGTCTGAAATAATTGTGGTAATTATCCAGAACCAGTTTATTAGTACTGATGAGTCAGGTGCCGTTCAGAGCCACTAGTGTTGTCACAATACTATACTTTACATAATGTTGTGATATTGGTGTTTTTGTTAATTTGTCTCATTTGTCAGTGGTAGTTGTTTTAGTTTGAACTTTTCACCAGTTTATTGAACCAGTTTAATTAGAGTGGGATAATGAAGTGTTTAATGCTGTTGAATATTTTCAGCATTTTAATTCCACTTGAATTTAAAAAAAAAAAAAAAAAAGTTTATTTCGATTCTAGTCTTTAGGGTTATCACTAAATAAAAGCAGCCACAAAATTAGGAGTAAATGTCAAAAATGGGTAGTAATTCATAAATTTGTTATAGCAGCTTATAAACATGAAGTTGTAGGCTGAGGCCAGAACTTACTGCACCTTCCCGTCTCACAACACAACATTTACACAATTATTAACAAGCCACACACTCTAAACCACACTCTTCCACGAAGTCCAGCCAGTCGTAGTCAGTGTAAAACCACACTCTATTTTTACAGCCTCCTCCTATGAATCATCACCGTCTACACAACTACACCCTTTGGACATGATGTTAAAATTGAATTTGAACTTGCAGAGCACATCTAATGAAAGGGTGCAGTGCTTTCGCTGTGATGGTAAAGTTGTTTCACATTTTTGTTTATCACTGGCTTCAGTAAACCTCTCCTCTCCTCTCTCTTCTTCTCCTCTCCTCTCAGGACAATCAATACTTTGCTCCTTAACGAGCTTCCTCGGTTCAACGGTTTAGCTCTGCAGATGATCTGGAGCATGTTGGGGACGTTCAGCTGTCTGCATAAAGACCTGGCCTCAGACATGGAACAGCTTTTCCAGAGCTTTGCACAACAGGTAGACAATCCTGCAATTTCGTCTAGAAAAACATTCATAAACATTAGACTTTAAAAGGTTGAATAGACTTTTCATTCTTATTTTGTTTCTTTCTCTCTGTTTCATCTCTCTCCTCTCTTTTTCCAGCTGCCTCACAGCTCTCTCAGCCCCGGTGCATTCTGGGAGTGGGCAGAGTCTGGAGTGTTGGAAGGGGCGAGGAGGCTGGAGACTCTGTGTCGAAGTGTGGAGGACACACTCAATGCGCCTGTCGTTCAGGTTGGGAGTTGAAATAGTGCTGTTGTGTTACCTTGTGCTTTTGTGGGTTGTTGACCAAGAATATTGTCTATGAACTCGTGTGTCTATGAATAATTTACTTCATTATCACTGTAAAACTCTGCCACTGGCTGGTTCCACAAAACACTCTAAGATAATATTTTTCTTTAAGTCTGAGTTCAATTAAAAACAGCTGCACAAAACACCCTCAAGTCTTCTCGTAATGGTTTCCCTAAAATATTAATTTAAGTATTTTAGGTTTTCTCCTTACCTTAGTCTTGTAGTTATGGAATCACTTAAAGTCAGTTCAACCGTTGCACAAAAAAAAACTTTAGTGACCAAAGTAAGGGGGAAAAAAGCTGAAGGTGCCTCTGACTCTGTCTTAACTGCAACATGGACGAGTTTATAGCAATAACTGAAGAAAATGAACGAATCCCGAGAAGAGTGTTCCACGACTGCGAGACACCCTTAACGATGACGAATAGATATTAAATTACAGATTTGACTGGCAGTCAGTTTATGATTTGTCCGACCCTCTGGAGTTGGGTCCCTTTACTTTCCGCAGCTTAATGACTGTTCTACTGTTTAATGCCACATGATCTTTCCAGTCAGTTACAGTCGAGGTATTTCATGTCCACTGATCAGCAGTGGTTTAAACGCTCTGACTGTCTGCTTGAACGCCTGGTGAAGTTCCCATCAAAACAACAGCTTCTTAAATGCTACTGGCTTCCTAGAAGTGATTCAAGGTATCAAGTGTTAATGACAGCAAACGGTCTCCATGGAAACAGTAGAATTTTACCACTGTAAAATCTCTTTCGCTGCCTTTAAAGGAAACCTTTTAAGAGATTCTATGCAACACCCTTAAGTAACTCCCTCAGCTAAAGGGGAAATTAAGCCTTGAGCGTCATAGAAAACTTAAGGTGTTTTGTGCAACTGGCCTCTGGTCTAGATCCACAAATCCAAGATAGATAGAATGATAATAGACACACTTGGTTATCAACAGACTGTAAACAACCAGACACGCTAAAACAACAGCCAGTAAAACAAAGCTGTCGTTGGCCACCTGATCTCAGTCACGTTGCTTTTTTCACACAACAGGTGCACAAGAAATTTGAGCTGTTTGATTAGAGTTGACACAGGACGATACCTTTACATAGCACTGTAAGTTACATAATTAAAACAGGAGACACCTACGTCCCCTATGACCAATAGACTGAAATAAAAAAAAAAACCCAATAAAGCATAGGGTGTTTTAAACATCCTGTCTCTTTAGATGCCGCTTACCGTTTCCCTCTCAGCCCATATCTGTGTATTAACTTTGTGTATTAACTCCTCTGACCACAGCAACTCTCCTCTAAATCTCCTCGGTTTAGCCATGCTAGCAAGCAACAGTTCACGAAAAAAAACAGCTCAAAGACTAATCTCCAAATTGCCTCCGGGCCTGTCAATCACTATTAGTTTTTCTTGAATTAATTTGGATAAACAAACAACATTTCTGTAATGTGTGTCACGGCTGCCTCTGTTTCCCGCTCAGCGACCTGTCAGCTTTCTCAGAACAGGGTCACATTCCTCAAACCTGCCAGGCAACCTGCATAAATAATCTACTGAAAGAGCGGGCTGCACGACACGTCAGGTTTTGTTTGAGTTTATAAAAATAAACTTACGACAGTTGATAATGTGCCAAGTCATCACAGTGATTCACATATGCAGCTTTACGTCATTCATGTGTAATCATGAGTCATCGTCAGGGACAACAGGATTCTGAATGTTCTTCCTCTTGTTCTGCAACATTTTTTATCACTTTACGGTCACATATTCAGTGACAGGAAATGTTTGAAATATTTAAGATGATAGTAAGATGATTTTGTTTTCAGATGTGTTCTATGACTCAGGACAACAGCTCATTAAAAAGAGTGTGTACGGTACAAATGTGAAGGCTTTGCTTACAGTTTAAACTGTAAGCAGCCAGACACACTTGAATACAGAGTTTGGTAATGATGCGTTTATTACTTCTTTGTTTCTACATTGACCATTTTCTATTCTGCTCAGGTGCTTCTTGTCCTTTTTTGCCTTTGTCAGGTTTCATTACATTTCACTCTCCATTCTCCTCTGCCTTGTCAGCCTCTGAGCCCATCCTCGCAGCGCCGTCTGAAGCAGCTAACAGATAAGCACGGCTCTGGAAAGATCTATCAGGTGATAGGGACGGTGGTGGGCAGCCGAGACCTGGACCTAAACCTGGCCAAAGGGGAGCTGGTGGCCATTATCAGTGAGGCTGACACCCGTGGAGACAAGCGGAGATGGCTGATTGATGCAGGAGGTATAAACCAATATCTTAGAGTGAAAATGTTTATGGAGGAGATGCACTCTTACCAAGATTTTACCACAAATGCAACAAAGTGGTACACATAGTTCACTCTGTACAGATAACTTCTGCTGTGGCTCAGACTCAACTGTATCAAACACAAGCTGCACTTCTGGTTTGTGATCAAACTGATGGAAATGGCCAAATGAAATGTGGAGGAGCATTTACAGTGTGATCCCAACCACTGAGTGGAATTAAAAGAGCAGTGATCTGGTGGAAATGATTCATGATTATGTACAATTACATACAGGACGGAAGAAATATGTCTTGTGGTGGTTGCTACTGCACATGTGGGGAACAAAGACACCAGAAGTGAAGAGAAAAAAAAACAAGAATGGTGTTGATCCCTGGATGACAAAACTTTGATGCAGCTTTTCCTAAATTCAGCTCATGGCTGCCCTCTTGTGGTTGTTAACTGTCATGGCAATGAACCTTTGATATAGGTTACCTTAGCAGGCAATGACTGAAAGATTGTAATGTTGGACTGAATCTGAATCTTTAGAAGTACTTAAGTTTGTTAAATGTAATTATGCATTATTGTTTACAGAACACATAAACATACATGTACAACGAAATACATAACATAGTTCCATCTTTGGCCCGCTACATGCCACACGTCATCTGTGTATGTTGCACGCAGGTAGAAGAGGCTACGCTCCTTCCTCAAAGCTGATTCGCTATCATCAGCCTGCAGAGGACCCGCCTCCTTCGCCACACCTGACCCTGCCAGAAGACATGACGGGAATCAGGAGACACTCCTACACGCCAGAGAACCGGCCACTGACGGTCATGAGCCAGCCTTGCTTCCAGGTGATTAACTGACTGACTGTCTAACTGATTATATACTAACTACACTGGCTCCTCCTGACAAGGTTGGAGCACCTGCTGCACAAATTTGCATTTTAATGACAGATTCTTTCAAAACTACCATAACTCCTTAATGTTTGAAGATGCACAGTATACTGACAGATAAAAATAAAATATGACTGAACATAAAGCATGACAGAAATGTTAAGTTAAGGCATCAGTCATCTTATTTTAGGGCCTCATTCTGTTTAATACATCACCAGGCAGCTCAAGTGCTCCTCGTCCAAACAGAAATGTTAGACTCATAAATTGAAAGGGGCCATATTAGGCTGACTGTGACGTGGACGTCAGCTTCCTGTTATGGGTTAAAATGATCTGAGATCAGACTTCAAAATGTGTGCGTGTGTTAATTTCCTTAATTAAAAGTTACAGATTCTGTGTCAGAAGAGCTGACTGATCTGACAGTTGTGTAACCGTGTGTGTGTGTGTGTGTGTGTGTGTGTATGTAAATTTGTGCGCAAGAGAGGAGAGAGAGAATCCTGAGTGTATCTAGCCACATGCAAGTGGATTAATGTGTGCTCATATCTGTAGTGTGTGTTTCATAAATGGCAAGGTCCATAAGTAGCTGTTTAACCTTGTAAGTGGGTTACTGTGTGAAAGGTTGAGAGTTAATTTATGCAACTGCAGGCTCAGATAGAGCGTGTGTGTGTATGTGTGACTGATTTACATGGGCAACACATGGGAGTGTGAGGGGTGGTGTCGTGGCTTGTAAAATTGTGATGGTTTATGTGGGTGTGTACATGAGAGAGGAAGATTTAGGTGAGTGGGCATCAGGAGAGTGTGTGTGCGTGTGTGTGCGTGCGTGTGTGCATGTGTGTGTGTGAGAGAAAGACATGTCTCCACATTGCCTGTTAAAGTGAGTGATTGCTCCAGTGACCTTTTTATAGAGGCGGTTTCTCACATCCCGCCTCCCCACGTCCGTGCCACATGACCCTGAGTCTGCTCATATAGAAAACATACACACCATCAGGCCATGTCCTCACTGTAGCAGATACCTTTGATAAATTCTGTACCCACCTCTCAGCCAGTGTAAGCTAGGATGGGTTTCAAAAAAATATAAATATTTCAACGATATTACATCATTTTTCAAAGCACTACCATCCTGAACTGTTCCAAGACTGTATTTAAGTTACACTTATTATTGTAGTTAAAAATGTCATTGTGATTTTGAAGTGAGGTTTTTTACTTGTGGAACAGACCCCAGTTTCACTTTGGCTCTCTGTAATGAGGGATTCTTGTTTTAATTAGATAAATCATTTTCATGTGTTGTTACAACAAGAAAGATTTGTTTTTTAAGAAAAGATCACCTTCTTATGATGTGAAAATGTTCTTGTTAAAACAAGAAACCCGGCTTGTTATTGCAACGAAACTGAGCAACAAAACATATTTGTCATGGTGGCAGCAATAAAAAACCTGATGTGTGCAATGACAAACCTGCACTGTGGGTTTTGAAAAACAAAATAACTGGTCACATAAAATTGGAGGTGACAAAATGGTGGTTTGACCTGCTTCAAGCCTGATGTAGCCTTGACTGTTAGAAATATCTATCTATTCCATCCATAGACTGTAGAAAAAGACTGAAAAAAAAACTGAAAAAAGATGGACGTAGCCACAGTGACATCGCCCACAGGTTTGTAAAGAGCGGTTTTGAAGCTCAGAGTGGGCTACTCCACTGTCTTCATCTTAGCAAGTTAGGCATTTTAACATGGGAGTCTATGGGGATTGATTCACTTCTAGAGCCTTTTAGAAGTGCAGTTTTTGGCACTTCTGATTTGGCTTCATTTTTCAGCCCTGGCGGTTGATGCTCGATTCCATCCCATTTTTTTTCATCATCATTTCCTCAAGAGTCGTTTAAACTTTTGTCTCTAGTACACATTTAGTTATGAAGAGCTCCCTTGCCTTTAAGCAGACGGTCGTTTTCCCTCTGGAGGTAATAAAATGTAGATCTCTCTAATTTCCTCCCATTTCTGTTCACTGGAAACAGCAGTGTTGTTACTTACTGCTTGCAGACATCCTGAAAAACAATATTAGTGTTAATAAATTATAGTCTGGTTTCTATAGATACATAGGCAATCTCAGTTATGGCCTCAGCATGCTGTCATGACCATATACCATCACAAAGAGGTGCTGATTAGCTGTTCATTTCCAGCAGACACTTAACTGCAGCAAATATCCGCCTGGCTCCAGTTTCATGAATCACTCTGCGGCTGACAGTCATGGTCACTTTACAGTTTTTTTAAAAATTTTCTCTCCTCCCTGTCTCTGCCCAGCAAAATGCTAATTAAATGCTAATTGGTGTAGACCGTCAGGCCACAGCTAATGTCGTAGCTGAGAGGTGAGCTGAGGTGAAGGGTTTGATAATGACACTGAGCAGCCAGCTAAACTCAGCTATTAGCGCTGCAGGAGCACTCTGTCTTACCAACACAGGCCTCATTAGGAAGCCTTCATTCTGTGTGTGTGTGACGATGAGAGGAGATTTGTTAAGACATAACTAGTGGGCTTAACCTTTTCAGGGAATATTACAATGATTTGTGGTTGTGTTAATGTGTCTGTGTGCGTTTGAACTTATACCTGCGTGTATGCATCCTTTCCTGCTCACCCATTTCCCTGAAGTCACGTGTGATGAATTTTGCACGCAACTTTACTCTGAAAATGAGCTAATAAAGCATGCTAGATGTTTGCTTGTTACCACAACAACTAGGCTGGACAGAGCTGAGCCTAAGTACAGTTCAAGTTTGAAAGTATAGCGCTAAGCCTGACAAAGACTGAAATGTTTTAAAATCGCCACTTTACAGAGGAGAAATCCTTTTGTGTTAGCTAACAACATGATCTTTCTTTAGGTTCCTCCTCTCCTCAAGCCAAAATGTTATTTTTTTTCCTACCAGTAGTAAGCATCTAGGCAGAGGCATAGACAGAGTTGTTCTACACATCATTTTGTTTTCTGGCTCACAGGGTAGCTGGCATGGCTGGAGACTTTTACTTTTGTTTTTGACTCAGTATCCTCTCTTACAGGTGATGGCAGCCTATGACTTCATAGCAAGAGGAAACCATGAAGTTTCTATGCGGGCTGGGGAGCCAGTCCGGGTCCTGGAGCACCACGACAAACGAGGGAACCCTGAATGGAGCCTGGTGGAGGTGAAAGGTGGGCAGAGGGGCTACGTGCCTTCCAACTACCTCGCCATCATGCCTATGGGGATGGGACCGCCTGGCTGTCACCAGCCCTACTGATAAGAAGAAAGGGTAGAAGGGAAACCAGCAGCATCTACAGCATCAGTGTGTACAGTACAGCAAGGCTTTCACCCATACTGTCTTTTAGAAGGCTTAAAGTGGCAGGTTTGTGATCAAGCTGCACCTGCTTCTCAAAGCTGATGGAAGCATGTACGCTTTCCACATCATGACCATCATTTATTTAGATTTTAAGTGTCAAAATCAGTTTTCAAACAGTCATAGACCCACTGATCTATAATCTACTAATCTATAATTATGCAATGCTACTGTGTGAGCACTAAAAAGGCCAAATTCTGTTAGTAGACTGCTTTCAATTTACAACGGGAATATTTAAATTTCTCTCCATGCCTTTTCCTACAACTGTGCAAACCAGTGTGTTGAGAAAGGAAATGAAAGTAAAAGAAAAATTAAGTTTACTTAATTTTACCTTTTATACAAGTATGGGATTATTGGCCTTCTTCTTCTGCACTAACTAACTTTTTTAAACATCTCACTGCTATATGCCATCCATGCTCTAGCCAAACTTCTAAAATGACTTAACGTTGCAACAGTGTGAAAATGGCAGAAAGTTGCTCAGCAAAATAAGCAGAAACAGGTGCTGGATCAAAGCAGCTGGAGCATGTGCAATAGAAAACATTTATATATTTGTACTTGTTGTAAGGTTTCAGAGTTGACAGTAAAACCTGTGGAACAATCTCGAATGTTAGTGTAGGTGGAAAATCTCTGATATATGAACAGTGTTTTAGGTTATTTCTGGCTTCGGCTCCTTAGAATCCTCTGGCCTTTACAAGTGTTAATGTGTGTCACACTGGGGGGAAAAAAAACTGGAGAAAGCAGCAGCCCCAGAGGTGGTAATTATATGCTCATGCTCATGGACACTTGGGCAGCGTGTATGCCTGTGAAGACAGAATTTAACCCTGTATCTAAAGGCTAAAGAACAATCATTATGTTGCACTGCAATTTCTTTATGAGCAGTGTTTAAAAAAAAAAACAGAAGTGCCACAAAAAATGGGAAAATATTTTTGAAGGTGAGAGGGGTTCATTTGAGATGTACTTGAAGAGAGGTCTCTGGATATAAAGACCCTTGGGCTCATTTCCCACGAGCCTCAGTGGCAGACTGCATGTTCTTGCTCGAGTGTCCATGTGTTAGCAAGCTAACCAGAACACTTAGACACACATAGAGCAAAAAAGAAAGTGTGTGCATCTGTGTGTGTGTGTGCATCTGTTCGATGTGAAATTGGGCTGACAGGTGAGTGTGTGTGATACTGTGTGTGTATGTGTGCGTGTGTGTGTGTGTGTGTGTGTTAAGTCTCCGCCTCCTCACCTGGAGGCAGAATCAGCACTGTATCAAGACTGACAGGTACACAGCGCTCTCATCATCTCAGACTGTGTAATGTGATGTAAATGTAAAAATGTCTCCAGGCCCCGGTAGAAGAGAGAGTGGAGCGAGAGAGGAGGAGGTGGAGATGTAAAAAGAGAGGAAGGAATTCATACTGGGAGAGGAGGTGAAGGAGTTGCGGAAAAAAATGGAAGAAAGACGAGTGGAGGAATAGCAGGCTGGGGGGATTTTTTTTTATATATCTATTTTCCTGTTCAGCCTCCTTCCTTTTCCCTTTTTTCCCATAAACTGATGTAAATTCACTCTTCTCTTCCTACATTCACTCCTGCTTTTATTCTCTCAGCTCTTATAACAGTAGGAACCTTCCTTCGTTAGGTTTTTGGCTTAAAAAAGCTTTTAAATCATATATACATATATATATAAAATAGAATGTGAGCAACCTACTTCTGTATACATAGACACCTGATGATGCTTGTTGCTATGGATACGGTTCAATCAATGCAGGTTGCATCTCTCTGTGGCATTTCTTCAAGTTGGCTGGACTGTGAGAGCATTTAGCTGCAGCAGAAATTTTGAAGTTGTTTTTGTCGGTTAAGTGGAAATATGCCGCTTTTTCTCCCAGTGCTCTGTACATTCAGCGGCTTGTCATGAGATTCACAGACCTGCGTTCCTAAAAAAAGGTGCAGGGTCTGAGTACCTCCTCCTCTATCTTTGACATGCAGAGTGAATGTCTCCTCTATGTATTTTATTTCTATGGGTCAAAGGTTTTAAATCATGGTACATTAAATGATGTGTTTATGGAAGAAAACTCTCCAGGTTGGTGCAACATCTGAAGATATCATTAATGTCTTTTTAAGTTAGATAATGTCCTGACATGCTATTTGGATTTGGAGTCTTCATCTCCATTAGTTCATGTTTGCTATTTGTATTATGGCGAAAGGTGGTGAAATAGATCCAGATCAATGTCAAAATATCCAAGTGGTCAGTGGTTGGCCCCGGGTTTTCAGCTAGCTTATATCTGACAAATTAATAGGTTAAAGAAAAGAACATTAATCAAAAGTACTTTTATGTAGAAAGAGTTTTTTAAATGTTTTAAATTTTTTTCTTTTGGTGTTTTAGTAGTTAACCCTGCAGCAGGAAATGTGTCCCGGTATAGACAAACTCATTCCTTGCACTTTTGAAAAGCAATAATAATGCCGTAAAATTTTAAGGCTGGACTGGTCGATATTTTTATATAATTCACTTCATTTAATGTGGAATTGGTTGCTTGTAGTGATAAATCCACATGACTCTGCACTTCATCTCAGCTCTGTAGAGCTTTAACGCATCTCTCATCTCACTATTTTGCTTTTAAAGACCTGAACTTTACTGGTACACAACTTTACTTTATCATCCTTCTATCCAGCAGCAGCAGCAGCAGCAGGCAGCTTTTTTTCAGTTAAAAAAAAAAGCTTGAATAAACCCCCTGTACATTCCTGTCCAGCACCTAATAGCAGACAGACAAAGCTGGTGATCATAGTGGAGCAATTAGGAGCTGAAGAGCCAAACATTTTCCCCAGGAGTTGGTGGAGACCACACCAGAGAAAAAAGGAGCGTGAATATTGGACTTTTATTCTTTGGGTGGTCAAAACTCAACTTCAGGTAAATTATAATGTTACTGTCTGTTGGCTGTGTAAACCAGGAATAGTTTACCATATCAAATTTACAAGGCCATAATATGTCAGGTGTTCTGTGATAAATGCTGCCCCTCAGTGGCCAAAAAAACTGAGTAATGCAGTTTTCACCTTTGACCACAAAACACAGAAAAAAAACCATTGAAACCTTTGCTTTCATTCTTCCATCATGACAACACCATTTTTTACAATGGCTACCGATGACATTCATGTAACTAGCCGTCTTGTTGCACAAGCGTGTTTTGCAAAAAGTCGAGTCTTTCCCTGTCGGATTGTGCTGCATCAGCTGCTGTGGATGTGAAGCAGGGGGGAGGGCGGCTGGGATCTAGAGCTGCTCAGCTGGAGCTTAGCTTTCCCCATCTGCCTGAATGTCAGGACAGAGCAGAGCAGCGGGAGGGACGGAAAGGGAGAGTGTGTGTGTAATGATACTTACATACCCAAATACCAAATGTCCTCAAGGTTAGCAAGATGAAAGGAAATGAAGAAAATCCCCCAACCTGAGAACATTTTACCTGCTTTCACCTCTTCAAAGGCCAGTTTAGGGTGAAAGGAACAATTCAGCCATGAAATGTTGTTAAAAACAGGTAATGACTTTCAACATTTCATTTTGGAATACATTATTTTTACTAGCCTATATTTCTTAATTCCCACTGGTGACAAACAAAGAATGTGCAAGTTTGAATCCCTTTTTTAATTCCCCCCCAAAAAAACTTGACCAAAAATGTAGATAGTGTAAAAACTAAACTGTTGTTTCACCACGCACTCCTGCTAAAGATTGAGAACCACACGATGACTGATGAATATATGACCGCGTATAGGTAGTAAAGGGTGGATTTCTCTTGGCCACGTTTAGTGGTTAAGGCAGAAACATAGCTCCGACGTGTGTGGTAATATCCTTACAGGTGTGTGTGTGTGTGTGTGTGTGTGTGTGTGTGTGTGTGTGTGTGTGTGTGTGTGTGTGTGTATGATTGTGCCTTCATGACCAAGGAACGCTGTTTTTTTTTGTTTTTTTTTTTACTTATCCACCACTAGAGGGAGTAGAAGACCTCGGTTGTGTTTGAAGTGAGCAGTGTGTAACCGGAAAGTGTGTGTGTGTGTGTGTGTGTGTGTGTGTATTACCACCATCTTTACTTTTGTCAGTATTAGTGTTTGCTTGAGATCACAGTCAAGTCAGATCTTGTACAGTCTGTTCATATTGTTCAGTGTACCTGTTTTTTTTTGTTTGTTTTTTTAACCTGCTGTCAAATCAACATGTGAAGTATAACATGTTTAACGTGCTGATGATCCAGTTTTACAGTCTGTACAGAATTCCTGTTTATAATTTATTTTGTAACTGTGTTGAGTTAAATTGTTGTTTTAAGTTATTTGACGCTGCAGGGCTAAATGACCTGAGATGAAGCGTGAAGCCTTTGAAGTGTTGCCAAAGTTGTGATGTTGAACTCACACACACATGTATTCACAGATGAGAGTGTACAGTGCAGCAGTCAGGGTAGCTGTGAACTGACTGTGTGGCTTTAATAAAACTAAACTGAAACCTGTCAAGTGTCCTCGAGTCATTTCACACAAATACATAATCCAGAAAAGACATTTTGTTGTTTAATATCAGACTGTAGCCACGAGTTAAAACTGATGAAAGGTGGTGTGCAGTTGTCAGCAGGTGAAACTGTGACTTAAATGATGAATCAATTAGTAAAATAGTTGTTTAATTAGTTTCATATAGATCAACTGATAATATAAGTTCTAGAAACTTATCCAGCAAACATTGATTTGGTTAAAACCAAGCTAAATTTGGTTGAAAAGTAGCCTAAATGTTCTTAAATGTAAAGGTCACAGAGTTTCTCTGACTGTATTTCACTGTGCAGAAGATCTTACCATAACTACTTGTGAAATGCTGTTAAAAGAATGGCTATATGTAGCCTAGATGTCTTAAGAACAACAACAATACAACTTTTCAAACAAGTTCATCTCAGTCTGTCGACCTGCAAATCACAACATCATATAGGATACCATCATGAACAGATTACCGAATGGACACAGAGCATTTCTATGAAGTGACTTGTTAACATATCATGTTTGAATGTCATGGAGCTCCGTTAAAAGACACAAAATGAGCACAAAGAGACACAGAACGTCTCCAGAGAGACTCAAAACAACCACAAAAGGTGCGAAACAACTACAGAGATGCAAAACAACCGTTAAGAGACAAAAACGTATCCTCCCAGATAGAGCAGTGGCCCCCAACCTGAGGGCCACAAAAATGTTATGATATTTAAAAACTCCTACACACTGGAGTATCAACATGGATAGCTGGTTAGCAACAGGAAGAATTAAAAGGAAAGAGAGTCAAGAGACAGATGGTGCATCGACAAATGATCTCTCCCCCCATCAAACAAAAAAGGAAACCTGAGCTTCCCCTGTTTAAAGTTCAATCCTGAGTGTTTTCGTTATCATTAACAGATAAAGTGCTCTGAGAAGGCATTATTTGGCCTCCGTATCGTTATGTGGTCGGATGGGGGGGCCGCCAACATTGTTGAGATTTTCAAATGAGTTGGAAAAGGTTGGGGAGCGCTGCTCAGGATGACAAACTGGCAAGCTCGCATCTCGCACGTTGCCAGTTTGAATCCCAGACTAGTTAAGACAATTTGAACCCTGAAGTTGACGACTGTATCGTCTTGCTTCTCCAACAACCACCACTGTGGTGCCCTTAAGCAAGGCACAGTAAACCCACAGAGCGTGCAGGCTGAGCAGTTTAGTCTCTGTAGAAACTAGCTCTGACAGATTCTTACAGACTGAACGTGTTTGTAGAGTAAACCGAGTTCCCCACAGGCTCAGGACTCTGCAGTGTGAACAGGCCTGTTGCCCAAACTGGTCGGATTCTTTACACAGCAGCTGTCACTACATCATCTGCAGTTCATCTCAAATATTGTGTTTACTTGTGTTCCTGCTCTCTTCCTGTTTATTGGCTTTAATCATATCCCTTCTTGAAGTAGACGACAGGATTAGGACAACTCTTGTTCCTTGGATTGATTCCAACATCAGCCATTTTATTCCATTTCTTATTTTTCAGCGCAAACAATTCTTCGTTTTCTCTGAGGCGCCTTAGTCATTTTTTTTTTTTTCCAGAGCAGCAGGTGGGAGTTTTTACTGCTCACAGGTAACTCTTTCATCTTCATACATCTTCAGTGCAGCGGAGAGCAGAATAAACGCATAACAGAAAGCTAGCAGAGAGTATATATATACAGACACACACACACACACACACACACACACACACACACACACACACACACATTTATATGCTGTACTGTGTTCAGCAGTGTTTCTGTTCTGGGTGAGTTCAGCGTTGCCTTCAGTGTACTGTTTACCTGCTGTGTGAATGTAAAGCAGCTCAGAGGTAAATATTTCCCAGAGAAATAAAAGTGGGAAAATGTTGTGACAGCATTCTTGTATTCCAAACATACTATGTATTTTTTTTGTGAGCCAAGCCTAAACACCCAATTTGTGTTATTCTCTGGCTGTCAGATTTTTTTTTTTTTTTACCAGTTTTGTTCTTGCATCCATCAAACCTCCAGCCACAGGTGCATCATCTTCATTTATTTTTAAACTGACTTTATTCATGTTATTGATGAAGAGGCGAGTAAAGACATGGTAAATGGAGAAAAATGAGACAAACAAGTCCCAGTATTGATTTACACTGAAAAAGAGAAAAGCACAAGGTGACAAATATTAATGAAATGAAAATACGAATGAGGAGGAAAAAGAAACAGAGGCAGCAGTTTTGCCTCGGTGAGTTGTTACAGAGAGATAATTGAAACACCACGACTTTGAAGTTTTGACTGACAAATACACTGGTGGACACTCTCTGGGTATTAAAGAAAAAAAAAATTCAGCAAATTACAAACAGCATTTCAATTAGTGAGTTTAGATGTGCTAGCATATTTAGGGAGAGCTAGTTGATAGATAGAGCAAGGCTTTGCCCCTTGCTTCCAGTCTTTATGTTAAGCTAGACTGGATAAATATCAATACTTAAAAGTACTCCGTATGATTTAGCATTGCACTTTTATGAATATATGAATTCACGATGGTGAGTTAAAAAAAAAAGAAGGATGAAAAGCGATGCAGCAGAATTAGAGATATTGTGGAACATAAAATATGAAAGTCCCTATCATTGGCTTATCACGGTGATAGGCCTTAATATGAGGAAAAAAAGGAGTTTTTAAACTTTTTTTTGTATGTTTTTAAAGATCATTTAATTTTAAAACGTTTAAAAACATGTTTTATATTTATATTTTTTATTTTATTTTAATAATTACATTTTATCACCAAAACGGAACTATTTTGCAAATGATTTTCAGCCCACTTGAAACACCTCGGGAACCACCTGACCTAGACCTTCCCCCGAGGCTGAAGGCCAGAGCTATCGCACGCGGGTAATCGTCATAGGGTTCTGGCATAGGTGCGCTCGCTGATTTCACTCGAACCTCCAGGGGTGAAAGTTCAACAGAACATAGTGGGGGCACTTCCAATTTGTAAGCAGAAAAATATTGAAGAACTAGCATGTCCAAAACCTCCCAGCCTGGAACTTGTCCGAAGAAGTTGTCTGCACTGAATTTCACACAGACAATATTCACAATTTGGAATACTTGGAAAAACCCTTTTGAAGCTTTTGATCGGTGGACGTGGACCCTTCCAGAGTAAAGGAACATAAACAATCGTGGAAAATACAGAAAATCGGACTTCATGGCCATTTTAAAGGTATGGAATTCATGAGCTATGTTTCTGTATTCATGGTTTCTGTAAAATTAACTGAACAGTTGAATTTTGGAGAATCTAACCGAGCTATGTGTGCTATGTGGAGCTTGTCAAATTTGACAAAAGTTAAAGCATTTATGTCTATATGCTAGTTGCTACGCTGCTTAGCGCGAGCTTGAACTGGTCACTGGACACTGGTCAACATGACCACGTGGGTTTTTTTAGAGGACTTAGCCCCCTCAGTTGTATTTTTTTGCTCCTCCTGTTTAAGCTTCATGTAGAAAAATAGCACAAATCGGAGGGAGAGTCACGGGGGTAGCATCCATCGTTAACCTGTGACTGAATGTCAGTGTTTACATCAGCTAACAGTCTTCTTCCTCTTCACCTTTTGCTCTTGTATTTGCTGCATTTCTTGGCACCTACTGCCTCCAACATTCAAATGTGCAAGTTAAACATTTTGCAGAGTGGGGTAATTATCATCCTCAGAGGCAGCCACTGATCTCTCTTACCATACACTCCCCTGATTTTCCACCAAAGTTTTGTGACCCAAGGTTGTGACCTGACTTTAACAGGAGATGGAACTAAAATAGCATCAATTTCACTTTAAAGAGGAACATAGGAAAAGTTAATGTTGTGCATCTCTGAGTTCATGGATTTATGTAACTTAATCCTACCAGATTAAAATCTCAAGCATTGCAGAAAATATCAGAAAAAAACAGGATTACCAGATTAGAAAACGGTCATTTTGATTGTTTACATTCCAGTGTAGTCTAGCATTTCAGTAACATGCCCTTTAGATGTGAGTAATGATTGGTAACAGTTACTCTATTATTCTATGATGTACTGTTTGTGGTGAAATTGCCCTCCTCAGTCAGTAGAAATGTACTGCATCAGCCATGTGCTCCTGTGTACATGTGCACCCTCATGCTGGATGCTGGTTGAGCACAATATACAAACAAAACAGGGTCTGACTCATAACAACATTGTTCATAGAGACGCTAGTGATCAAAAACAGAGGACGTCACTTTTTTTTTGTTGTGTTTTTGTAGTATGTTATGTCTTCATTAGAGTGTTAGATTTCACATGCAGCACAAGTCAGCCACATTCAAACTGGGGATATTTGATCAAATGATCAGCACCTTAAACCCTGAGGTCACCTTTCTCAGTGATCAGTTTGATTAATTAT